ATGAGAGATACCAACAATGGTTCTCCTCTCCCTTATATAGCTCTCACCAACAAATACAAGGTGATAAGATCTAATACCCATCATCCATCCCACTCCTAGTGGATGGATGATGTGGCGGATAACCCTAACAAGCACACGGATCGTTGACCTGGGGCACCCAACTAACACACTAACTAACACACTCAATCCTTACCTACAAGCACACGGATTGCTGACGTGGCACTGTCAACTAACATATCCACTCTGTACCTACCAAGTGCGCGGATTGTTGACGTGGTAGCTATGACTAATGCACACTAAAGTATCTACATCAATATTCAAAGTAACCTCTACTTTAGTTCTAACTAACTAAAGATGGTTACAGGTTAGCGCACAATAATCTGTATATACTATAGTAATGAGTATACTTAATGTGGGCACAACTTACTAAAAACATATAAATGCATACATTTTATTCTAGACCCAAAAACTAGATTAATGATTTAGATTTGTAACACTAGGATTTAAAAGTAAAGCTCATTCAAAGATAAAACACAAATTTTGAAGATGAGAACTACCTAGAATGGTTCTTTTTTTCCTTATGTATATCTTTCAAACACATACACGAAGATAAGTTGTCCAATCCACTCCTAGTGGATTGATGACGTAGTAGATTTCTCATATCCATATGTGTTCTCAATTGTTAGTGTCAAATTAGGGTTAATTCTAGTTGAGTTAAACTTGGATTAATGCCCACTCTGGTTGAAGATTATAGTCGCGTAGATTAGAAAAATTATCAATTTTTTGTGTTGAGTCTTTTCCGTGAGTAATAGCTTTCAATATGTTAGCTATGACAACTCGTTAGCTTCAGGCTCAATTTTTTGAATTGTGGAGTGTACTTAACTTGACTTGATGTGAGTTTTGTGTTTAAGGCTAATGGAGTTTGCATAAATATTTTCAGTTGTGATACATTTGTGTATGTGTACGCTCTTGTTATTTATGTGTGTATATGCCATATCAGCGATGTTTGTTGTATAACGATAGGGATTTGCACGACACATCTAATGAGCACACAGATTCTTAATGTGTTAGTTGAAAACAACACATTAACTTGCACATTCATTCCTTATCCAACAAGCACACGGATTGCTAACACGACGTTGTTAACTAACATAATTACTCTCTAGCTACCAAGCAAACGGATCGCTGATGTGATGATTATAGATAATCCATTATAATGTGATTACATCTCCATCTTGAGTAATCTCTATTTTTATTTCTAATTAACTAAAGACGGTTATAATTTAGGTTCAAGTAAGTAGAATTAGTAATATAGATGATTTTACAAAGCTAGAAAAGGTTTAAGTAAGTAGATTAAGTATCTAACAAAGGTTAGATATTTAACAAAGCTAGAAAAGACGTAAGTAAGTAAAATAAGTATCTAGCTAAGATTAGATGATTTTATAAAGCTAGAAAAGTCAAAGTAAACTACATAACAACAAAAAAGTCATAGTTATATTTTGAAATAACTTTCAAATATCAGGAAATTGGCTGGAAAAAAATATTTGATTTTTCCAAGACATTTAAACTATGTTTAGTATTTTTGACCTAGTTGTAGATTCACTCCACTTAGTTTCCTACATGAAAGTATTCAGAACTATAAGTACATATCATTCTAAGTGAAAAGCTATAGAACTTTTCAAGTTAATCAATATCATTCAATGACTTATTTCACCTTTTTTTTTTTTACAAAGCATTGTTCTCTAGCTGTGTTCTTCTTTAATTCATCTAGATTTTACTTGTTTCTAGATCTGAAAATGACAATTTGTTTTTGTGCTAAAATCAAAAAGTAGCAATTTGTGCACACTTATGAAAAGTCTATTGCTATTCAAAACATCATCAAGTTCACAGGTGAGGTTTTTGTTTTCTATTGTCCATCAATTAGCCGTATAAGATACATGTAGAGGCTAAAATTAACTACCACTGGCCCATTCATATTTTTTCTTATACAGTGAGTTTAATGTCAGCAATCAGTGTGCTTGTTAAAACATAAATTTTTTTCATTATTCATTAGTAGTTTTTCACCAATAAGTATCAAACCAATTGGCTAGTTTGATTGCAAATGACGCATGAATATTACACATTGGTGTTTTTTTTCTTATAAAAATCAAACCACTTGGCTAGTTTGATTGCAAATGGCGTATGAATATTATCGACAACAGGGTTGTGACTATGACAATCTGCTTGGAAATCCTATCCCATGCAATTTGTCCAAAGCGTTATGTACCATGAATCTTGATCTGCTTACATCCAAATATGTATTTAATCCTTATCCAACCATAAGTGTAAACACACTAACTTCATCAATCAAACCTTGCATTAGCAATCTTACTATATTCATTTTTCCTCCTTTTCATCTAATTTGAGTTTTACTTTTCATGACCATCATTTAATCTACATATATATTGTCTTTCATTGAACATCTCAATGAGCATAAATTTTGTTATAAGTACTCACATTCTCCTTGGCTAGCATATTATTCATATTTTTCATGAAGTTGCTACAAAATTTCAGAACTTTTAAGTTTTCATAATAATCTCCCATTGCGTTTATTGAATTGAACATATATCATATATATTTTGTATAAATTTGTATGACTTGAATCATCTAATTTTGAGCTCTGTGTAATATAAAGGTGATTTAAAATATATTTTTGGTCATAATATTGAATATTTCACTTCATTTTTTATTATTACATTACGCATAAAATTACGAGTGTTTAAATTTCAAAATGTGTTCAAATTTTTTTTCTAAATGAAATCATTTTTCTTTTATTAATGATAATACAAAAACTTGATGATGATTTTAGAAAAATACACATGATCACTATAAGTATTAATTACCTAGATATTATATATGTTATAATATTAAATAATTATTTCTTATCTTATTTCTTAAAAATGAATTTCAATTCAAAAATTCTTTACTCAAAAAATTTTAAATTCTAAATAGGATAGAACAAAACGTATTCCAGATAGAATAAAACGTTTTATATGATAAGAAATTGTATGGCAGCATGCATGAGTGAACTGAATTGCTAGGTATGAATGTTAATCTACCTAGTCTATGCATTGTATTTACGATTCAAAAAGTTTACACATAATGTACTAACTAATTGTAGTACTCGTCGTAATCAAAATTGAAAACACTAATATGTATACTACAGACATATTATTTGTTATTAGAATGATTTTGAATCAAATAAATTTTGTTTAAAAATCACGCTTAAATCATTTGAAATTGGATTCAATTGAAATTATAAAATATTCTGCTATTTTTTGTTGTAAATGTGTATATCAATGAGTTGTGTCAGTAAGTTACGTAGGGATACATCCATAATGAAGGTTAATGAAACAAATGTTTCATAAACCTATATTATAGATGTGAAAAAAAATAAAGAGTATATATACATCGTAATATATTCCAGCACTCATTTTATTTAGATCTGTATAAAATGATGACAAATGAGCTTGAAATAAACTATGTAAATCGCATATAATCTAAAATTATATGACAAATCTCAGAGCAAAAACATTACACAAAAGACTGAAGAAAATAATGAGATGAAAATATTTAGGATATATGTAAATTTCACTTCAAATGACAAACTCTTTGAGTTTAAAAACATGGTCAATCGTACGCTGAGTTGATACATTCACATGAAATAGAAATTCACAAGCATGCACATGATTCATATTGCTATATTTTTTCTTCACATGTACAAATCTGACAGATGTTCGATTTCATCCTCAGCACTAGTTAGCGTGGTGCTTGGAGCAAAATTTGTGAAAAAATAGTTGAAAGTCCAAAAGAAAGTCGTTTTCCAACGTCAGGTTAATAAATCTATGTGTGGTCTTCTATAGTGAAGACTATACGAAGTCTGGACATAGATTACTTGATCATGCAGCATACTAGAGAAAGTATCAATGTTGAATTTTCAAACTTTGTTATCTATACAAAGTTGTATTATTGCTTGGTGTGGTCGCATTCAAAGCAAAATGAAGTATTTTAGCCATATAATATTATGTACTTAGCATTGGCCAAATATAAACACATCGATAGATATTCGTAACCTAGAAAATTAACATTCTTCGTGAGTTTAAATTTTATTATTGATGATAATCAAATAAAATTTAGATTATTCAACTTTAATTTTAACAAGATAAAATATTATTATTATAATTTTTCTTGAACATATCAATGATCTGAAAAATATTATTTTGTTTTATATTGAAATATTTTACTAAACGAAAATATTTGCATGTAATGAAACCACATAATGAGAAGGTTTTCTCGTGTTTTCAATTTTATTCTAAAAAATTTACATGCACTAATATTTGTATAAGGTATTGATGAATATAAATTTAATGATGTAACATAAAACAAAAATAAAACAAGATTTTGAATCAAATGCATTGAAACAACAAGCTCATCATATTAAACGTGAATATTCACCTGCTGTAGGATAAAAACTATTTTCAAGGTCAAGAAAATAAACTAAATTATAACAAAATATATTGAATTCATATATCCAAGACTATGGAATATGGTTTTGGACAAGTCGAATTCTATTCATTAGACACTATTGACTGACATCGTCAGCAATAACAATTGACAATAATTCTAGACGAGAGGAGGTGAAAACCCACACTCTGATCATTTGGGAGTAAAACCACACAAGTGAATGTGAAAACCCCACGAACCAGGAAAAAATAGCCACAAAAGAAACCAGATGAATGCGAATAAGCAGGTATAAATAAAGAGTAGAAGGCTGGATTGCAATACCAGTTTTCGATTTGGCAGTTGTGGGAGCAAATTGAAAAATCGGGAATGCCATCCTGAGAGGGAAAAAAGGCCTGAAGCGAGAACAGCAGTATTTGAATAAGAAGCGTCGAATTCCCGTCAGACAGACCCGGCAGCTCTTAGACTGTAGAAGTAACGTTCCCACCGACAGAGAAAAAAATTGTGTGATCTATTTATTGATATTTCGTCCAAAACAACAGGATCTACGGACGAACAACACTTATATTTCCTTACCAACGGTACACAGGTATTGGCGATGGCTTTGACAGGATAAGTAGTAGCGCTCTTTTTCTTCACAACAAGGGAGTAACCTGCTTCCACCTGCTTTTGGTAGATTGAGGTTATCTCCCACCCCTCTCGGAAACAGCTATGGTACGTATGGCGCTTCACTAAAACAAATATGAAACAATCTCTTGCTCTCATCTTTCATACAACAAATCGTCTAAAACGATCAGATTTCCAACCAATGGTCCTCCGGTAAAGGAATTAAGGCATACCGAGAGAGATTTACCTATTTCACCAGGATCTAATAAGACTACACGAATATGTTACACTGCGTACTGAGTATTTTCAGCCGATGATGAATTTCCAGAATAAAACGGAGCTAGAAATCCCATGGTGCTCGTGTGATTGATGACGGGGGCTGTAAAGCGCATGCAGCGCCGAATGCTAGTTTTCCATCAACACGCGGTGCCCGTCAATTCTTAAATGTATGTCACAAAACAACCAGCAGCTCAAAGAAACATGTTGACATGTTGACGGGTACGAAACATGTTGACAATCCTTTCGGTGCCCTCAAGAATAGAGTACTTCAACGATGATATCATGATGACACGTTACTGTGAAGTTTCCGTGTCAAAGGCTGATTTTCTTCACCAAGTAATATTGCTGAAACCGTTGACGTGCATACTCCAGATAGTTGAAGTCGATGTCCGAAGTATGGGCCTGCGCAGGTACCAATGTATCCAAACCGCGTTGATTACAACCCTTGTCATCCTTAAAGTACGTTACCCTCGGTTCCCGCAAACGAAGTACAATTTAATGTTGTCGAAAGCAAAAAAATGATATGGTGGCCACAGCTTTTGCATTTAAGTCCTTAACGGCAAAAGCAAGCCCACTTGTTCAAAAAGGGTTAACCAGTTACTTTTCTACGGATCTCTTTAGCAAGACCAGAAGGAACAAAAAAATATTCAAAGGAGATAATAGTTTTCACCACATCAATCATACAGACCGTTCTAGACCCTAAAGTGGCAAATGTTCCAAATGTAATGAAGACATTTCTACTAAACATCGACAGAGCTTAATTCGCTAGGGTGCGAGACGAACGTCGACAGTACACCACACAGAAGAGCTACTTACGGAAATGAGACCCCAACAGCCCCAAAGAAGATGACTTGCAAGTCTATATGAATCCGTTTCCTTCACTAAAGCATCTATCTCCACCTCATCAACAGATTCGCCTGTAAACAAGCCGACAAACAGTTAGTTCAGTAATATCAACCATAGCTTCCTCTGCCACATCACAAGACATGACATGATATAAGTCAATTCTCATCCGCCTCCGGTTATTTTGGAATGCTAACCAAATCACAAAATGTAAGTGAAAATTTTGTCCATATCCATGGCAACTGAAAGTCCTTCGAATATTCTAGCAATCAAACAAAGCAAAATACCTGTAGCTTGCAAGTACATTGCTGCAAACCTGCGACGGTTCTCGTAATCTGCACAATGGCATGGTTTGCACGCAGTGATTAGCTTTTGGACAAAACTCTGCACACCAATCAGCACATTCCACTTCTTTTTCCTCATGAAGGCGCTGAGAAAGACTCGAGAAAGTAAAGTAACACAAGCTAGATGTCTTGCTCTTCTACTCCGTGAACGCACAACCCTCTGCACCCTTCAATAAAGTCACAGCCATCAAATTATGACTACAGTTCCACGACAACGTAGAGTGAAGTTAGAAACGTCATAGCTTCGAGATCTGCTGATGATCTTAGTCCGAATGTTCGACTAACTTCAATTTAGGTCCATCGACGTGCTGCTGGTTATAACATATACTCATTTGTCTGCCGCAACTTTCCAGCCAAGACCCAGTGGATGAGAACCATAAATGACGACATCCAAGCTCAACGGCGTGGAACCAGGGTGGACTGTTTCTTATTGAAAAATTTCATAGTGCATGTGGAGGATCCTCACCAGGATATTTGCTATAATCCAGCACGTGAGGTGTGTCTGAGTGGTAGTCAGCAGCCATCTCGCAAAAATAGTTGGCGATGTCGTATGCTACGGGATTGAAGCTTGCATACTCGTAATCCTGTTTTAATCCAAACCCAACGCAATGAATTGGAAAGTAAATCCAGCAAAACCGGCGATCAAGCACATCTCCCTTCCATCGAAGAAAGCAAAAGGTGGGTCACAAGCAGCTGAAAAGCTAATGTTGTCATCTCTGTCCAGAAAGCAACCAAATGTGAAGTGCAGGAGGTACTAATGAATAAAAGACATTAACCCAGAAAACTGGAGGTTGTAGTCACATACAATTATGGTGAGATTGGTTTCGTTATCGTCAATCATCAAGTTTCCATATTGTAGATCATTGTGGCAGAATCCAATTTTTTCACCAGATCTTCGGAGCATCTTCTGCAAATTAGCTATTTCTTCGTGCAGTAGATGCAGACTAAATTCTTCTACTTGATTCGGGCTAGCTAATTCCAAGGCCTTCTCCAACCACATGCTGCAAGAGTGTGCAAGAAATTGTCAACCTCATGCACGCGAAGACCACCCAACTTCTGAACAATGAATTTGCTTCTATAATCCATACGTTCCTAACAAAATTTGAAGCTTCATTACTGTGTAAGAGATGGGTCTGGCGAATTTAACCCCGCTGGTGAGACCGAAACTACGTATGACCCTACAAATTTCAATCCTGCAATCCCGTCCTATTACTAGTTGCAGCAGTGATAGCACAAAGCACAAACAATCATGATGTGGCACGGACGGACTAAAAGTTTATACGAACCTCAAGCGTTGCCATATCATAGGCTCAGCTGGTCCGGGCATATCGAGTGCATGAAATTCTCTCAATTTAACCGCAACTTGATCCGATATTTGGTTGTTCCGCAAATCCACAGATGACAAAGTCTGCTCCGGGAAACAAACGACTTTGTCAATTCAAGAGCGATTGTCGATTGCACGCACCTTACAAATCGCAATCACTACAGTTCGCGCCCTTCAGTATCAGGTCCACGACTAAAGGTATAGACCCGCAATGCGCCAAGACCAAAAGAACATAACATAAAGCGATTATGTGCCACTCCCACGCCTCTACAAATTGTCCAGAGCAAGGGCCAAGCCAATCATTGAGTTTCAGCTCGTTGTGAAGCAATACCCTGGCATTTAGAAATTCTTCGACTCGGCCCGTACTAAAGCGCGCAAGAAGGCGTGGACCCTGTCCATGCTGGGACATTTTCTCAAATGTCAATATTTCATTTTCTCTGTTGAAAAAAAGTTCCGAGCTCTCTCCATACAAACGCAGCAGCACCTTCCTAGGCTTTCCTCTCTTGTTTGCCAGTGCCCAGTGACACTCGAAAACTTCATTGGTCATGGCCCCCTTCAATTGCCTTAAAGTCAGATTTTCATTGCCGGAGATGTCCGTCCACTCTTCAGCTAACCTGAGTTACATACAAGACTCAGATTATAAGAATCGTGAAAAGGTTCGCAATGCGCAGATCTACATCTCATCTAAGAGTAATCGTCTTCCACATGTCTAACGAAGTGAAGACAATCTTTCGAGGCATCGGAGGGGAATCTTGAAGAATGTCTTACCCATGAAGAACGGTATATGCTTCTAACGGAATCTCCAACTCATCGTCCGCAACTTCGGAACCTGATCACGAACGCAATGATTGAGCCAACGAAGTTTAATCAGCAGCATGTGCACATCTGGGGAGCAAAGGCGACACATCGGTCTACTGGTTCTCTACGAAGAACTGGTAAGCAAGATTGGTCAGCTAAAAATGTCGTATATCTCGTTCAACGTCGGCATACGAACCTAAAGACTGACTTCGAAGTGTTAACTTGTCGGTAATTTTCGAAGGACAATCGTCCATCTCCTTCTCGAGTTCCAATTCCAGAGCAACCATCAGCACGGCCGGGAAGATATCTCTATTCAAGCCTTTTAAAAAAGAAAAAGCTTTCGACCAGGCGAACGATTTTGAATGACGAGCGGTATGAACGTTGGGCCGACGATTGGTCACCGATTGAGTCTCAGGGACATTCGCGCTCTGCCAACGATCAACGACTGCAACGTTCGCCGAAGAATCTCGAAAGGTCCCGACTTAAAAGGAGAAAGTCACATTCGCTAACGCGCGCTTCCCGCATCCACCGCTGTCACTCCCCAAGATCAAACAGCTCTAGACGACCCAGCATTCTGCTCCACCAATGTCCTCCGCTCCACTGCCCACGCCTTTTTATAGCAACCTCCCCACGCTAGAAACCCTTCACGCCACCTCCTCTACGAAAACACCATGACTCTCCGAATTTCCAACTTCTCGTCCTTTCCACTCGCGATCACTCTTCCCTCGCTCGTTCCTCGATCCTTCCGCCGCTCTCCCCCTGCTTCCTTTCACATTTACCAGACACTCCACTCCAACCAATCGCTGCTCCACAATCCACACTCCCGAACTCCTCACTGGGCAACAACAACATCAACAACTCAGTTACGCTCGCAATTGCTCCGAGCTTGCTCACTCGCTCAATCGCTCGCTCGATCGAAGACTGCGTCGCGTCCTGCCGTGAGCGGGGATACGGATTCGAAATCGGATCGCACGACGACGAAGAAGAAGAAGAAGAAGGTTCAGACGCCGAAGCAACAGGCCAGTACTGGAAGGGAAAAGGCAGCCCGCTGCCGCCAGGCCGACAAGAGCGCGGCAGGGGACCCGGAGGCCTGGAGCTCTCGCCTTCCCTCCAGCGTTCGCTCCGTCCCCTCGCTTGCCGGCGGACGACAGTCCAGCGCACGACACTTCCCGAGTCAAGTTTCCGGTAATTCGCAAACCGCGTGTCCGGTCTTCCAGCTATCCGTACAGCCCATTCTGCGTCACGGACGAGTCATATCATTCTTGACGTGGGCGCTTCCCGGGGCCCCACGTCAGACTGATGAATATTCAGCGTTTCCACGTCGTCCCTTGTCTTCCGGTCCCAGTTGAATCTTCGTTCGCTCTCTTGTCCCGTCCACTACGCCTCTCCAGTGGATAGAATCTTTCCGGTCTCCGGTCAACATCGCCGATTCGGAGGATCGAGTGCTTTGCATCATCCGGTTGACGGGATGGCATTTGGGTTACTGCCTTCGGACACGTGGACCATTGTTCCTGCAACAGGAGCAGGATGCGCTCGATGTTCCTGGAGTCGGATGTGCTTGTAGGCCAGCGGATTGTTTCGACTGGCAGTGACATGAGCGGACATGACATCTGCTGGGCATGCAACACGATTCGCTCGTCCAAAGGAACTTTTCAAAGCGGATGTGCTCTTTTGGATTGAGATCTCTAAGAGCGCATCACGGTTGGACAGTTTGTACGCTTGTAGTTGAACCCCTCTAGTGTTTGTTTTTTACAACTTGTTGACTGAATCAAATGATATGACATTTTCAACGACCAATTTCATTTCATGTCAATTGTAGGTGATGGACTAGGTGAAAAGTTGCTAGAAAGTGAAGTATGTTTCTAAAACTACCCCAACAAAAATTTCAGTAAAAGGTATTGTTTGCAAGTTTTTGAAACATTTCTTATTGCTTCATTGTTAAATTCTCATCAATTGATTTCTCTCATCTAGTTTAATCGTATAGACACAATGTTCACAACATGGCAGGAAAAAAAATTACAATTTTCATAAGTGAAATTCATGCAAGTTTGATTTCATTTGATACATAATACATCAGAGAATTATATCAATGCATAGAGTCTTGATTTTCCAACAACATATTTTAGAATCATGAATAAAGTTCATTCTAATAGATTTCAGTATATCATTTCTAAATAAAATTTAATTACGTGCTGAATTTGAATATTTTAAGTGAATAAAAATTTTTGATCAAATTATTTCACAAGATAATTAAAAAAATCCAAAAAATTCAGATCAAAATAAAATATGCACTTCAAAATAATTTTATTTGAAATAATTCAGATTTCATTTAAAAAAATTAAGTTGAATAATGGTATATTTTAGTTGTTAATTGTTATGAATCTATTGCAACTTATCACAAACCTATGCATCAAATATTAAAAATCTAAAATAGTAGTAAATTCAAATGATGATGTGTTGAATTTTTAAAAACATTATTGTGTTATTGAAGATTATGATTTTTTTAAAATATTATAATATTAAAATTAGTCCAATGCTATAACCAATGAATAATTTTAAATTTCTAAACACAATCATATCTGAAAAATGTTTACTTACATGATTATAAAATTTGTAGTTTAATTATGATGCATAATTTAGATAGCGGCTAGTTATACCTCACTTATGACTAATTAGCCTTCAATATACTATACGTTCTTCCTTATGACTAATTAGCTTTCAATATACTATACGTTCTTCCCTGATTGGTCTTGTTGGGTTATAGCTATCGTGGTGTGATTAGCAACTTGACGGGTTTTCCTTCTTTTCCCTCTACGTTAAAAATGACTATGTGGCACATGCCACGCAATGGAGACTCATGGCAGAAATGACAAACTCCTTGTGCTTCCTGCAATGCATGAGGAGGAAGTATGTCAAAGTAAAACTACCATATTCATGTTTTGCAAGGTTGCTTGTCTTGTGATGTACATGAGTATTTGTTATTCCTAGCATAATTCTTAGGTTTAGGGCTAAATTTCGTAGAAGTGTATATCGTCAACGAAACTCAAAGAACTATCAGTTCTTCAAATTGAGTATTTTAGCGTCGGGAGAAGTTTTATGTGGATTGGCTATAGTGCCCATAAGCTTCAACTTGGATTCTTTAGTGAGTGAGTGGGTTGGTCTTGATTTGATGTGAAGTTTTATGTTTTCCAGTGGCGTTTTCACGTCTTAATTTCACTTGAAGAACTCAGTGTAAAACGTCAAAAAGAATCGTTGCTTGTTTTGTTACAAAAATTTGATTTGGCCTTTAGTCGTGGGATTAGTGATTTCAGTTTTGTTAGTGTATTATGGTACTCTCGATGTGAGATTTGAGGGATTGAAAGCCATTGGAAGCCATTTTAACGATTGGAAGCGTTGATCTTGACAACTAATCGATTGAGTATATTAATGCATGGATGACGGTCCGGGGCCGTAAGTAACAGGGCAAAGGAGACAATAGAATTGTCAAATTTTGATTGGTAATTATCCAAGGTAAGGGGGATGAATTATTCCGAAGCTTGAATTGGTTTAATTCGTTCGGTTCGTGGAAGGAGGTTGGATTGGAATGCAGTATTGTGCAGTGTAGTGGACTTATTGGATCCTTTGAGAAGTTATTGCAATCAGTATACTCTGTTTGCCCGAAGATGAGAATCTAGACATATTTTGGTCATACTTTGTGAATTTCAAAAATTTTCGTCTCCGGCAAGTTTGGAATTTCTAATGTTACAGAATCTACGGTAACAAATGAGTAATAATTTGCTCGGAAGGCAAATTTAGAAGCTTTTGAGTTCTTCTTGGATTCTAACACCGATCATCACACGATGCTCAAATTGAGAAATGTCATTAGTGAAGAAAGACATTCTAAGTTCACTTTGGGAGTGTAAAGTTTCTTGTGCGTGTCGTCGTAGTGTAGTCTTTTCTAACGTCTAAAGTGTGGGCGACAAAGAGTGTCTCATCACCTAAACACACTAGAGAGATGTGAACAGAGGAGTGCACGGGGATGTGTCATCGAAGGAAAGATCGGGAGATCCAACAATTCATCATTGCGAAGGCGGAGTACGAAAATATAATTGCATGGATTTTTCTACTTTGAGGTCTTTTGATGCATGACATTGCTTCTAAGGCTTCTTGTTTATTTTATATACAAGTACAGCCTGCCGGCACTAGCAAAAATAACTCCATGCGTTGAGCCTACGTCAAGCGCATTAGAATCACGGATTCGGTTGGAACACTCATGCACAAAATGTTGCTCCCGCAACTACTTTGCAACTATGGCTTGCACACATGAATGTTTAGAGATTGAGCAGGTGACAAGTAGACCTCATTGTGATTATGTGATCATTGATGTGCATTTTCACACACCAAGGACATTAACGCTCTATAAGAGCTTGGAAGACTGTAGTTGGCTAGATTCAATCACGGTTGTACCTGCAAATTTTAAGATGCTGATGTACAGTGTTGGAGAGAGCAAGAGTAAGTGGATAGAGAGTCCCATAGGAAGAAAAACGAGCGGAGCATGTGCAAAGATTTCCATCATTCTTGGCTTGAAGGTTTTCACAGTTAGGAAATCGGATGTACGATTCTTGAGCGGAAATCCACATGTTGTGAATACGTGTTGAGTTCAGTTTTGGAAAGTCTTCTAGTCAATGCTCATGGAGATGTAGAGATGTAGAGTTTCCAAATATTTCCCAGATTTTGTTCTCAAAATTCATAATTGAAGTTATGACGTTAGAAAATTCCTTCTGCGTGCGCTGAAGGTTAAGCAACTTGTTGAGAAAGGGAAGACGAATGAGGTTTTTCATAGAAACGGAAGATAATAGCAGCTTATCGGAGGACAATTGTTCTGATCGAACAAGCCCTTCGCCACTGATGTTCACTTTAGCCTACTTAGAACATAACTTACATCCAAACAACTTTTTCTTCAACTCGTTTGTTTTGCCAACTCTTAAGTCTTTTAGAATATCTCTCCCAAAAACTGCAGATCATCTCTTGAGTAGATTGACAGCCCTTCTCACTCTAGCTATATTGGAAGAGTGTACGGGTTGGAAGATGAGGGCCACATTGCGGAGAGTTAACGACCTAATGCTTGCAGGAATCTTTCACATACAAAAATACACGCGAGTGAACGTCTATTCACACATTAATAATTTACATCAATATATTGTATATAGATCTATAGATATATATCAATATTTAGATATCTATACACGTTTTGCTTTTAAAACTCAAAGGTCTTGTTGGAAATCTCCGTGAAAAGCATAAAAATTCATTAGTTGCCCCATCGTTGGGATGCACAAAGGCAGTTGGACGACGGCAAGGATGCCTAGCACGTCAACTCCAAAATGACTTGATTTTATTATATCATCTTTTAGCTTTCAGTTCAGATTTTTACAAACAATTTTGCTAAACTATTAAAATTGTTTAGTAGTTTAACTGTTAAACTATTTTTAGTTTCCCATTAAGTGATTTTGTTTTACAAATACCTTGTAAAACGAACCTTGTACACAGTTAGGTTTTGAGTTGTGAAAAGAAAAATGCCGCTTAGACATAAGTTGAGCAATATTGAGATATAAAAGGTTCATGCGGTGGGAATCTTGAGAAGCGAAGAACTTGAGCATTCGGAGGAGATGTTGACTCTACAGTCCCAAGTACTAGAGAAGCAGGTGAACGATGTTGTGTTAGAAGATGATCAGCAAGACAAAAATTATGCCGCAATTTGCATAGAATTAATTTGGAATGAGGAGCTTTCATTAGACAAATTGATGAACAAATCTGATTCACATTAGAAAATATGTGAAGATGAGTTCCTAGACTTTTCCAAGGATGTTGCAGATCATTTGAGGAATTTTCAGTTAGTTCAAGACTGAATGTCTGAAGAAATATCTAAACTTGAAAAGTTTCTACTTAATCTTAGCAAAGCTTGACAATGGAATAAAAAGAGAGAGAAGAAAGAGTAAACAAAGAGATTTAGTGTTTAGAGAAGTTAATCTGAAATGTCTGAGAGTTTGCATCAGGTCTCATCCATTATAGTTTTTCGGTTGTAATTATATATATGTTGTGATAAAAAACATATAAAGATTTTTA